TAAGCAGACTCTATGGTCAGTGTGGAGCCCTACATGGGGCTCGATCCCATGTCCCTGGGACCATGACTTGAGCTGAAATCAAGTTGGACACTCAAATGACTGAGCCATCCAGGTGCCCCATGGTGCCACTCTTTTTTATGGCTGAATTACACACACACACACACACACACACACACACACACACACACACACACATTACATCTTCATCCATTAATCTTCCATATCTTGGCTATTGTAAATAATGCTGCCATGAATACAAGGGTGCATATATCTCTTTGAATTGCTATTTTCATTTTCTTTGGATAAATGTCCAGAAGTAGAATTGCTGGATCATTTAATAGTTCTGTTTTTATTTTTTGAGAACCTTTCATACTGTATTCCATGGTGGCTATACTAACTTACATTCTCACCAAGAGCATACAAAGATTCCCTTTACTCTGCATCCTTGCCAACACTTATTTTTTGTCTTTTTGATAATTCCCAATCTGGCAGGTGTCAGGTATCTCATGACGGTTTTATATTTCTCTGATGAATAGTGATGTTGAATATCTTTTCATGTGCCTATTGGCCATCTGTTTGCCTTCTTACGGAAAAATGTCTGTTCAAGCCCTTCCCTTTTTTTAAAATCATGTGTGTGTGTGTGTGTGTGTGTGTGTGTGTGTGTGTATACACATATTAAGTTGTGTAAGTTCTTTATATATTTTGGACATTAGCCCTATATTGGATGTATGATTTGCAAATATCTTCTCCCAGTTAGTAACTTGCCCTTTTTATTGATGATTTCTCTGTGCAAAATCTTTTATTTACTTTAGCTTTTGTTTATTTGTTTCAGTTTTTGTTACCCTCACCTGAGGAGTCTGGTCCGAACAAATATTGCCGATAAGCCAAAGAGCTTACCACCTATCTTTTATTCTAGGAGTTTTATGGTTTCTGGTCTTATATTCAAGTCTTTAATCCATTCCAAACTTATTTTTGTGTATTGTGTTTATATGGTTTCCTTTAAATATTAATTGAATATTTTCTTAATGCCAAAAATAATTCAGTCATTGCCTGAATTTTCCATATGAATAGAAAATCAGACATCATACTGACAACTGTTTCAGAATATTCACTAATTAAGTGAAATAGGAAAATAATTTCCAAAGGAGGAGTAGAAAGAATATGAGATATAAAAACCCATGAACAGGGGTGCCTGGCTGGCTCAGTCAGAAGAGCAAGCAACTCTTGATCTCAGGGTTGTGAAATTGAGCCCCACAATGGGATGTAGAGATTGCTTAAATAAATTTTTAAAAACTTAAAAAAAATTTTTTAAACAAACCTATGAACAAGTGTTCAGAGAGCATTTTAGCAAATGAGAAACTGGAGCATTATAGGAAATGAGAGAATTGAGGAAGACAAAAGGGATATATCTGAGCAAATGTAATTTATCCCCAAAGTACCTGATTGGTTGTAACATTCATAAATCATTCAATATAAATCACCTTACCACTTTCATAAAATAAAGAAGGAGAGACAAATGATCGTTCAACCTTCCAAAATTCTGATCTCTGTTTTCTTAGTGAGGCTACCGTTTTCCTCTTGGGATCCCCCTTCCTGTGCTTCAGTTGGAATATATCTGGAGACACAAAGCCAGGACTGTTCTAATGCTTACCTCATTGGGTCTCATTTTCTCAGGGATCAAGTTTCTGTGCTTCTTGTCTTTGTCTCATATATTTTGTCCAGTTTTCTAGCTGTTTATGTTTAAGTCTAATCCAAGATACTCTCTCATAACCAAATAATTTATATTTTAAAAATATCACTCTACCTGCCACGGAGAATAGATTGGGGGAAAGTATGAGTTACAGGCAGGGAAATCAATGGTGAAGCTAGTGTAGCAAGCTGGTGGCTTGGATTTGGAATGTAGTAGTGGAAATGGAAAGAAGTAGATCGTGTTTTCCAAATGGAGTTATAGCATCAGGGATGGTAAGGGCGCAGGGATGGGGAGGAAAGACAAATCAGGGATGATATCTAGGCAGATGTTGGCACCTTAATGTAACACAGAAGATTTCAGGATTAATAGTTTGGGATGGTTTGGGAGGATAGACTACTAACTCTTTCCCCTGCTGTGGCCTCTCTAGTCTTTCACTGCTCATTCTCCAGTTCTGCCTCACAGAGTGCAACAAATTATTTGGCAGGAACAGATTTTTGGGCTAGTATGAGGGCATGGAGAATGAGAAAGGAAGAGATTATGGTATCTTTTTATTTAACCCATGCACATAGTATTAAAGACAGAATTGATTTTATACAAGAAAGGAGTGCATAAGGACCTTGCATATGTCAAAAGTGATATCATTTTGGATTATATCTTCAAAGCCATGAATCAATGAAGGAAAAGATACAAGTTGGTACAGAATATAAAACACAAGGATCCCAGGTAGAGACAATAACAACAAAGATCAAGGTGAATTTTCATAAGAAAGAAGTCATTCGTATTCGGTTTCTTGCTAAATAATTACTTCCTCTATCACCTCTTAAAATTAGTTTTTATCCCCTCAGTAAAAACATACTAAGGTCCATTTCAAGCTGACAATGATTCTACTACCCTGGAGAAAACAGCCCCCAGTCCCAAACCCCAGAAGGTCTACAGAGGTTGATCAGGTCAATGTCCTGTCTGAGTTCAGAGTCCCACTCTACTGGCTTTGGGGGTCCACATGGAGCCAATGAAATTCCTGGGAGAGCTAGAATTTAGAAGTGGGATATGGAGATGATAAGTTAGTCTACATGAAGAAACTACAACACAACTGTAACATGTAAGCTCAGGAACTGGGGTGCAAGAGTAGGGCTTTTTCCATGTAGACTAGAGAAGCATGTGGGCAGACATGCAGAGAAAAAGAGAATGAAGCAGATACTAAGAGAGAAGCAGAGATGAAAAGATTAAAAAACAGAGATAATGAAAGTCCTAACCTATCCAATTCTTGCTGATTTCACTCTTTCTGAGTCTTTGAGTTGTAGGATACATCCCAGTATCTTTCTCATTTTTGCTGAAACTAACTGAACAGGGGGTCTGTTACTTGAAAGCTGAGACTCTTGTTTAAAAACTCTGGTGTTGTTTTATAAATGTATACCGCTCTACTATTCTCTGCAATTCAATCACTACATACATGCATTTCTCCTAGTATATTTAATTTGAGTTAAATATACTAAGAATTTGTTAATTTGATTGGTAAACTGATCAGTTTGGGAGTAAGATTTGCATTATATAAACCTTTATTGGTTTGTGTAAGGGGAAAAACTATCACCCTAGCAAGAATGTAACCGGTATGTGTCAAGGCAGAAGGTAGCATGGTATTATGGGGAAAGGGAAAGGTCTGGGGAATCAGGAATCCTTAGACAGTAATGTCTTCTGGTTCCTCTGGCTTCCTGAGCCATGAACTTTGCTTGTTCTATTCATACCTGCCTTGCTAGCATTCAGCTAAAAATCTGCAGCTGATGAACGCATAATCTGGTCTTTCTTACTTGGTTAGAGCCCTGCGGCTTTTCTGGCTGACTCAGGCTAACCCCAACTCTCATTAGGTTCACTGAAACTAAGATGGTGTTTCCATCAATGTCTCCTGTGTCCTGTCTAAGTCAAATAGAACCTGAGGGAAGCTCAGCAAAGCTGAAACTCTGAGCTTGTCCCACAGCACACTGCCCCACCAATTTTTCTCTGATGTTTTTGTACCATTCCTGGACACCTGTGGTTGGAGGCAGATTGCCCATTAATGGGATGGGCAGTGAGGGGGTTACCTAGGAACCCACACAGTAAACAGGGGTGAGACCTCACTTATCTAATACAGAGGGTATGTACTTCTGCTTCCTCTTGCTCTTTGCCGTCTTAAAATTTCTTATGGCTACATCTGACATGAGATATGACTGTATCTTATCTTTAATCTTCCAGAGTACACCAACCAAAGTTCACTATCCTAAGTGGAAGGAGTTGTAGCATATAAATGGTCAACGCTTGGACTTGGAATCAGCCTTTCTGAATTTTAATCTGGCTACTCCCTTCTCGGATCTATAGCATTAGGTAGGTTCCTGTAACCTGTCTTTGCCTCAGTTTTCCCATGTGTCAAAATACAGGTTGCTAACTATCTTCCTCATACACTGTTATTAACGAGAGCTCCTTACAACAGTGATTGATATATATTAAGTGCTCAGTAAATGTAAGCTGTTATTACTACTCCATTACCTTAGCCCTCTGGCCTCAGCCTTCAATAATTTAAATGAAACTGCTTAAATTTCCCATAACAGTATAAAATCAGATATCCTACTGAAACTGTTTCAGATTATTTACTAGGTAAAAATCTTCCTACAAGACTGTCGTAGCTATATTCTGCTTTCCATTAAGGTTCAACAACAGGATAACAAAAGCCCTAACAGCAGTAGCACTTAACATTTATTGACCATTTATTTACTATGTGTGTGGCTCTAAGCTAAGCATTTTGCATGCATTGTTTTATTCATTTTCCCAACCACCTTTTTAGGTAGGTACTATTATTATCCTCATAGTAGATTTCTGCCAACATTTAGGCTAAAAAGAAAACAGATTTAAAACATGTTTGCTTGTTTTTTAACTATGTCGAAGCTTTTTTTTTTAATTTGCCAAAATAGTGGAATTTTCTCATTTGATACATGTTAGATTTTTTAAAAGAGCTGTAAACAAAGCTAAGTAAATAAATAATAGGTGTTTCAAATGAAGCTTAATTTATGTATGTGCTAAAACATTACTAAGAATTTTTCATGATTTTCCAAATACTTACAAGTTGGATCTTACAATTCAAGCTTTCCAAAACAACTTGATTTTAAACAGAATATTTAACCTGTTCAAGGCTGTTTGTACAGGAACTCAAGAAACATGAGCTTTTATATATTTTCTCCATAAATTTTTGACACTTATCTACACATTCTGCTGTATACAATTTTACCAATGAAAATACTAATAATGATTTCATATAAAACATCCTTTGCACTTCTATAATTACCTGTTAAGAAGGTTCTCTACTTCTTGAACTTCTGCTATGGGCTCTTCATTATCAGAAAGGAAACGAGCTTGAAATTTTCTATCTTGGAAATCGTACAGCATCACAATAATAAGACTGCTCAAATGATCTGGCTACCGGGGGAAACACATAAAGAAAAGTATACAAGCAATATCTAATAGTGATATTTTGTATTCCACTATGTTTTCAAAAGAGAACAGAAATATGACTAGTTTTACATAGCCTGGTTGCATTGGGAGATAGAGAAGAACTTCCAAATAGAAAAAAAATCCAATAAAAAAACAAACCATTTTAAAGAGACAGTATTTGGTATGTTCGGTATGTTCATCATAATGAAAGGACTAGGATCAGTATTAGAAGTAGGAGAGAGCTCAGGATGCATTTTGAAGAGGTCTCAGCATTAAGCAAACTAGTCGTATTTAAATCTAAAGGCTTTTTAGCACTTTCTAAATAACAATCATGAGACAGCTAATTATATAAAAGTTGTCTACTTACTATTGTGGCACTTGGGAAGATATAGCTGTCTATTAATATAGTTTCCAAAATATCTTGATCTGCAAGACAAGGAAAATGTCTGTTACTGAAAATACCAAAACTGAAAATGAAAAGTTTGGAATCAAAATACAGTTAAGGGGCACCTGGGTAGCTCAGCAGGTTAAGCATCCAACTCTTAACTTCAATTCAGGAAATAAAATCAAGCCCCATGTTTGACAGCACAGCCTGCTTGGGATTTTCTCTCCTCCTCTCTCTCTGCTCCTCTCTCATTCACAAGCAGATGCACACATGCTCCCTCTCTCTCTCTCTCAAAATAAACATTAAAAAAATACACTTTATGCAATGCCACCAAATACCTTTACTTTCATAATTAAAATATACCTCAATTCTTGACAAAGACTCAGATTATAATGACATGATGAATGTTTTTCATATTTATGAATCCTAGACCCTTACGAGCCAAGCTTCACATGAAATCCTAGTCAAAGGAGCACTATCTGAATACCTAAAGTAGTAATAAAGAAGTTCCAGCCTTTAATTTATGTCTTTTGAAAAACACTTAAGAGGATCTAATTTAAATGCCGTATCCTTTTTATATGTTGCTGGATCCAATTTGCTAATATTTTATTTAGTTTTATTCTATGTTTATGTTCACTAGGGATATTGGTCTATCATTCCTTTTCTTATAATATCCTTGTCAATGTGGGTATAAAGGTTACACTGGCCTTGTAAACCAGGTGGGAAGTGTTTCCTCTTCCTTTATTCTTTCAAAGAGTTTGTGTTAGATTGGTCTTATCTCTTACTGAAATATTTGGTAAGACTCATAGTGAAGACACTGATGACATTTAATCTAAGACCCAAATGACAAGGAGTTAGCCATAGAAAGATCTGGGAGGAGAGACATTCCAGGCAGAGAGATAATTGCAAAGGTACTAAAGGGAAACCAGTAGACATATTGAAAAGCCTCCCTAGTGTGCAGGAGTGTTCCTTTTGTTACAACTACTTAAAACTATATATACGTCATGAAGCAAATGTTTTAATCAGCTGAGCAGAAAGAGAGGCTAGCAAGCTTCAATTCATTCACTATATGTGGAAAACCTACTATATGCACACTACACTATTGAATTTCAGTTTTTATTTGTAGGATAGGGAAACTAAAAGGAAGTGACTAATGGCAGCATAGACTACAATTTTTATAGGAAATCCTTTGGGAGTCCTAATCCATATTTGAGCCACCAATTATGGCTATATTAACAAGACAATATCCCCATTTCACTTATAAGGAAAATAGATTTAGTTTTGCACCCTAAGTACTAGCAAACCAATTCCTAACCACTTCAAAGATTCTCAGCACGGGTCCCAATATTTATCACAGAAAATCTGGTCATCATAAGAATAAAGGGCTTCTAAGGCAACAGACCTGAACAGGCTATAGAAATCTGAGCAATGGAGATGCTTAGCTCCTAAGAAATAGGAGAGGCAGAATGTAAAAAATAATGATGATTTTGCCAACGTTGCATTTATCCTCTGGGGGGGTCTTGTCAAAAATGATAACATCTTTGGCCCGCCTTTGATACTCTGCAGAATGCATTACTTTTGTGTATCTACAATTTACATAGCATTCTCATATAGCAATATCAACATTAGTGGTAACTGTATATTTTAGATAGTGCTTTCTATGTGCTACACCTTGCTCTAAGTGCTTTCCATTTAGTATTCAATTAACTCTCATAACAATCCTATGAATTAGGTATCATCATTATCCCTGTTTTATAGATTAGGAAATGAGGCAAATAACGGGTAAATAAGATGTTCACAGTCACACAGCAAGTGGCAAATCAAGGATTCAAACCCAGACAGTCTGGCGCCAAAGTGCATGCTCATTACCAAAACATTACACTGCCTGTCTTCATCTTCCTCTTATAACAAACCAGAATGGCTATATAAAACACATTGTTAATGACTAATATGAGTTACCAGGATTTACTTCAAGATTATAAACCTTGCCTATCCTACTTAGTTCAGCACAATAACTTGAACTATTCCCTGTCCCCCACTAATTAGAGCCTTTTCTCTTTAGTCTGTTGAAGAGAACTCTTAACCTCCATTCTTCAGGTTTTCAATACAGAGGGGCCTTCCCCAGAGAAAGATTTTCTGCCAGCGTGTCTGCAGAAGTGCAATAGAGAGGTCTACACTTTTTCAGCTGTGTCATGGATTAGATGAGAAATCTCTAATTCAGTAGTAAAGGACTGGCAAGCCACTTGGCTGGAGATCTAAAACCATGTCCCCAAACACCTATATTTTTTCCTCTCTCAGTGGGTCCAAATTCAAGTGTCAAGGAGGAGTGCTATTTACTAGACCCCTAAAATTCACATAGCCCATCTTGTCATTCCTCCCATTCTGGAAGAAAGGTGGAAGATCTTCCTTCTTTTGACTCTTCTCTAGGTTCTCCTTCTCTATTTTTAATATGTTTTCACAGAGTTTCCTTCATGTGACAGTAGTCATTAATAACAGTATGGTACTGGCACAAAAACAGATATAAAGACCAGTGGAACTGAATAGAAAACCCAGAAATGGACTCACAACCAAATGGTCAACTGATCTTTGACAAAGCAGGAAAGAATATTCAATGGAAAAAAGTCTCTTCGATAAATGGTGTTGGGAAAATTGGACAGCAACATGCAAAAGAAACGAGGCCACTTTCTTACACCGTACACAAAAATAAATTCAAAATGCATGAAAGACCTAGAAGTGAGCCAGGAAACCATCAAAATCCTAGAGGTGAATACAGGCAGTCACCTCATTGACCTCAGTCTTAGTTACTTCTTAGTAGACACATCGCTGGAAGCAAGGGAAACAAAAGCAATGATAAACTATTGGTACTTCATCAAGATAAAAAAGCTTCTGCACAGCAAAGGAAATGATCAACAAAACTAAAAGGTAGCATAGAGAATGGGAGAAGATATTTACAAATGACATATCTGATAAAGGGTTAGTATCCAAAATCTATAAAGAATTTATCAAACCTAACAGCTCAAAAACAAATATTCCAGTCAAGAAATGAGCAGAAGACATGAATAGACATTTTTCCAAAGAAGACATCCAGATGGCTAACAGAAACATGAAAAGATGCTCAACATCACTCAACATCAGGGAATTACAAGTCAAAACCATGATGAAATACCACCTCACACTTCTCAGAATGGCTAAAATTAACAACACAGGAAACAGATGTTGGCAAGGATGTGGAGAAAGGGGAAACTTTCTGCGCTGTTGGTGCGAATACAAACTGGTGAAGCCACTCTGGAGAACAGTATGGAGGTTCCTCAAAAAGTTTAAAATAGAACTACCCTAGAATCCAGCAATTGTACTACTGGGTATTTACTCAAAGAATACAAAAATATAGATTCAAAGGGGCACATGCACCCTGATGTTTATACTGCATTCTCAAAATAGCCAAACTATGGAAAGACCCAAAATGTCCATAGACTGATGAATGGATAAAGAAGTGATAACATTCCCTTGCATACACATATATATGTATGTGCACATACATGCATATATGCATATACATGTATGTATATACATATGTATATGCAATGAAATATTATTTAGTCAAAAAAAGAATTAAGTCTTACATTTGCAATGACATGAATGGAACTAGAAGGTATTATGCTAAGCAAAATAAGTTAGTCAGAGAAAGACAAATACCTTGTGCTTTCACTCAAATGTGGAATTTAAGAAATAAAACAGATGAACATAGACAACCAAAAAAAAAAAAAAAAAAGAGAGAAAAGCAAACCATAAAACAGACTCTTAACTACAGAGAACAAACTGAGGGTTGCTGGAGGGAAGGTGGGCAAGGGGATGGGCTAAATGGGTGATGGGTATTAAGGAGGTCACTTGTGATATATGTAAGTGTTGAATGTAAGTGATGAATCACTAAATTCTACACCTGAAACCAATTTTACCATATATGTTAACTAATTAGAATTTTTTTTTTTTAATTTATTTCTAGAGAGAGAGAGAGACACAGTGTGAGGAGGGGAGGGTCAGAGAGAGAGGGAGTCACAGACTGAAACAGGCTCCAGGCTCTGAGCTGGAAGTCAGCACAGAGCCCGACGCGGGGCTCGAACCCATGAACCGCGAGATCATGACCTAAGCGAAAGTCGGACGCTCAACCGACTAAGCCACCCAGGCGCCCCTAACTAATTAGAATTTAAATAAAAATTGAAAAGAAAAAAAACAACATGGAACCATAAAAAAAACTAGGCTTAGGGATGGGGTTGCTTATTCTACCACCCTTTCCTATCAAATGAAATACTTCCTCTTTTTAATCTTCTTCCTGCTTGGCTCCTTAGGTATATCATTTAATCTCTTCTTGATTTTCCCTCAATTTTTTTTTTCATTTGCAAAACGAGAACCTTGAGTCTCAAAGAACTGGTGTATCCAATGATATTTTGTTTTGTGAATTACGAAAAGGATGCAAATATAAGGTACCATTATTGTCATTCAAGAAAATTGGATTAACCTCTTACAAGACAAGGAGAGTGGTTATTGATCTAGATTATTTTTCTAATGAATCACTATACAGTCAAGAATTAATTCAGCAAGGGGCACCTGGGTGGCTCAGTTGGTTAAGCTCGATTTTGGCTTGGGTCATGATCTCGTAAGATCTAGCCCGGCATCAGGCTCTGAGCTGTCAGCACGGAGCCTGCTTGGAATTCACTCTCCCTCTCTGCCCCTCCCTCAGTCATCCTCATTCTCTCTCCTTCCCTCCCTCCCTCTCTCTCTCTCTGTCTCTCTCATAATAAATAAATAAACTTTAAAAATATTAACTCAGCAGGCCTGGATGGCCAAACTCTGAACACTCCAAAGAAAGGTTTGGCACTCTGCGGAGATAACTTCTATAAGCCTTTGGAATATCTTGCCTGATGAAAGTGTCTTTGTTTACATGGGGTGTTTGTAAGCAACATGGTGTCAGCTTGACCTCTGGAAGAGCTAGAGACTGAGATAGGTCAACCACAGGGTCACTCTTTGTCTACGTGACTGACAGCAATAAAAACCTTGGACAGCAAGGCTTGGGTGAGCTTCCCTACACTTCAGTACTACATTCACATACTACAATGCTTCATTCCCGTTGTCCTATCATTGCTAAGAGAATTAAGCATTGTCCATAGACTCCACTGGGAAAGGATGATAGGAAACTTGCACCAGGTCTCTCCTGGACTCCGTCCGATGCACATTCTTCTGGTATTGATTTTAAATAACCTTCCACTGTAATAAACTATAACCATGTCATAATAGCTTTCATAAGTTCAGTAAGTCCTTCCAGAGAATCACTGACCCTAAAGGTACCCAAAGTAGGTACGTTTACCTTAGTAGTTACCCAAGACTCCACCTACAATTACTAATTACCAAAGCCATAAAAGAACCATACATTAAGCATTTACTAGGTTTTTCACTGACAGGTTAGAAGATTCTGAAATGGCCAGGTTAATGCCACAGCCAGTTCCTGAGACTGAAAGTTCACCAACTACTATATGTACTTGGAGAGGATGGAGAAAGAATTAAGCCAAGAATAATATCAACAGTTTCATGGACATCTTTTTCTTCAAGTTTTCTGTTTTCTTTACTTGTGGTTCATTAGTTTATTTCTTAAGAAATCATTTTCTAGGGTTTCTTCTTTTTTAATAGTTAGAATTCTTGAAATAGCCAGAGATTCTTTGAAAAAACAAATTAGCTGCTAGTACTCTATTTCTTTGACAGAAGTAAAACTTAAAAGAAATAGGTGACTCTTCATTACCTTCTTTAGCAGAAAACTGACTTTGGAGCTATTTAGTAAAGCAGGAATAGTGGTTGTCTTCATCTCAAAAAGACATACTGAGCCCTTTATTTAACCTTTAAAAGGTTAATCAGATAAATACTCTCTCTCCTTTGAAAGAGCTTATACACAAAGGACATCCACAAAAGAGTAAACAATAAAACTGAAATATTTAAAACACAACCAAAGGAATATACTTAACATTTATATAATGAAGGAATTTTCTGTCATTTTTTCCTTCTCCTTGTACTTCCATACACACACACACACAACAACCTATTCACAACTTCACCAACAAAAGGGATCATTACCCAAGCCCTCTTTAGTTTATACATTAACATTTTTAGCTTTACGACTCCTATAAAACTGTAGGAAAGAAATCCTGAGTTTTCTTTTCTGAACTGTGATTCCCTGAACCTATAATGTACAAGCCAAATGTGAGTTTATAAAATATCATGTGAAACTATTGGTAGAACTCTGATAATACAGAAGCTAAAAGCGAAATGCAGAGCCTCCAAGACCTTAAAGCCAAACTATCAGGCTCTTAATTATCTTGGAAATCTAATACATTTAGAAATTCTGGCTTTATTAAAAAAAAAAAAAAAGGAATTCTGGCTTTATTTCATTTGAACATTTAGAGATTATTCAGATAATAATTCAAGCAATATATTATTATTTTAAGAAGAAAATAATATTTGTGCCAAGTAAACAACCAAAGCCATTCTACTTTAGAATTTGAACTTATTTTAGAATTAGAATTTTAGGGGTGCCTGGGTGGCTCAGTTGGTTAAGCATCCGACTTTGCAGGTCATGATCTCATGGTTCGTAGGTTCAAGCCCTGCGTCAGGCTCTGTGCTGACAGCTAGCTCTGAGCCTGTAGCCTGCTTCGGATTCTTTGTCTCCCTCTCTCTCTGACCCTCCCCTGCTCGCATTGCCTCTGTCTCTCTCTCAGAAATAAATAAAACATTAAAAAAAATGTTTAAATGAATTAGGATTCTAAAACTGAACATTTCAAGCAAAAGCAGATTTGTAAAGGTCTATGACATTACCTTATCTTAATGGGATTTTTGGGGTCATTGAAAAAATATAAAATAGTCCCAAGACCCTTTCATAAAATAGAAATAAAGACTGAGAGAAAGAAAAAGATAATCTAGTGTGCACATATCACCATTTAGTCAATGCATTGATCACATATAAAATGACTTCAGGCTTTTAGTATTGATTTCTAAATGTAAAACTCAATATTCCATTAGGAAAACAAATTGTCTATAATAGAATTTTGGCATTAACATTAAATACCAACTAATTAACACAGATGCCCAGTCTGCCTTTCACTGTCACAAGGAGAAAAATGTAAAAATGTTCATTTGGCTCATCATCTAAAGTACAACACTTTGGTCTCTAAAACTACATTTTTTAAAAGCAGGTATAAGGAATGGATGAAATAATGTGAAAGATTATGCTGCAAAAGAAAAAAATGGCTAAGACAGATTTAAAAAGGAAAAAAAAAAATCCACCAGCAGGAACAAACAAAGAAATGGAAATTAAAGAGAAATTGCCTCCTGACATTAAATTTTTCTCTATGTTGACAAATTTCTGGCTTCAGAGTTGAGCTGCAGCATGTCTGTAAACTACCAAAAATATATATTCACATCTAAATAATTAACAGGACATTTTAGTTCAACTAACCACTTGGTAAGTGCCTATGTGCAAGGATGGAGAAGGCCCAGTACGGACTAATACTAAGGAAATACATGCAAATTAGTGTTGCCCTTTCAAGGTGTCGCTTTAGGATACCACATGCTCATCATTTCAGGCACGCTGCTAAACTCCAAATATTTCTGGAGCTTCTTTTTGGAACTGCATTCACTCACTTCAGTATAAACATTACAGTTTAAAGGGGACAGGGGAGCAACGGATAATGGCGTGTCTGAATCAGAAGATTCTAAACTTGTATTAAAGCTTATAGCTAGTACAAAAACAAACCTTTCCAGACCCTGTCACTGGCTGCTGTCACAGTAACAATATCTGGTTCTGTCCCAGAGTCAACTCCACACACGGGAGCTGATAGTTAACCACCATTGAACAAATGTGAAACACTGCATCTCAAACCCTGGACGCAAATTAGAACGGAATTCTACAGAAGTTTGAATAACTTTACAAGCTCCCAAAATTTAGGCTATTGGCTATGAACAGGATCATCTTAATTGGGGTTGATTTCATTTTTGATACTCATTTTTAATATATTGTACCTTTTCTTCTTATTCCATCTCTGGTCCTCTCCTACTGCTTTTTGTATTTGTGAAAGTTCATACACTAATATACAAGGGGTAAACACAGAAACTGGTTAAGACGTAACCCAAGCGATGTGGGGGGAACCGTACTTGGATCCTTCAGTGGGCTCTTGTTAATGGAATTGTTTCCCTCTTCAATTTAATGTCTGTGCATTACATCTATCTAAGGACAGGCAAGGTCCTAGACACTGGGAACCTGAACAGTTCCGGCATGAAAGAGATTGTTCTACTGGAAGTCTCCTAACTCCTTGACAAGCATCTGACCAAAGATATGCAAATATGTAAAAACAAAACCCGAGGTGCACCAGAGGCCAGGAGTGGGACTGAACTCCACAAATCTCATTATTTTCTTTTACTGCGTATCTTTAACCCTGGTACTACTCACACTTCAGAGCACTGAAAGCCAGCTCATAGGAAGAACGCTGAAAGGATTCATCCTCAGACTCGGTCAAGGACGGCAGGGGTTCATTCCCATACTTAATTAAGACTTTCTCTGGTGACTTTTCGAATCGAATACCCTGAAAAATGTTTGCTGCCGTAACGTAAACGGAGTCCCGGTAGCCAGTTTTTTCGGGTAAACCAGCGGAGGTTTTTTCGCTGGTTGCTGTGTCATCTGACAGTGCCAGGGAAGCGAGCTGGGAGATCTCCTCCGTACTGTTTTCGTTCGAAAACTCCAGTTCACTCGTGGCATGAAGCATTGTTTGCCCCTTGACTGTCGGTAACTCAAGACTGAATTACAACTCAGGTGTTCCAGGAAACGGTTTTCCCTGTACCTTAAGCATCGTCTCTGTGAACAAAGAAAAGGTTATCTGGGTAAATCACTATTTCTGCGGGACCCACTTGGTGGCCCATTCCGTTGCGGCCTGAAAGACTGCGGTGGCATCTACTCGCGGATCCGGGCGTCCCACACTTGGGGCCGCACAAGACCTTACCAAACGTCCCCACGCCCAGAGCCGGGAATCTTCTCCCTAGGGACTTTGCCCTACGCTCCTTTGGGGGTAGCGCTCCCCACGCACCGCGTCTGCGGCCCCACGGGCGCCCCCTACCCCAGAGGGCGGATATTTCCCGGGGCTTCGGGGACGGACACGCGGCAGCCGTTGCACTTGGGGCACCGGACGCCGGTGTCTGAACTGTGCCCTCGGAAGCCCAGGACGGCGGGGCGGCGGCGGCGGCCCACGAAGGCAGCTCGGTTCAAATGCAGCCTCTCTCACCAACCGGGTTCGGAGTGGGGCGGGGAGTCCCGACCTCCGGCTCTCGCGTCTCTCCAGTTCCCGAAAGCAGGGCGCGCCTTCCGGCCTCCCCAGGTCACGCTCAGTGGCCCTTCGCGGACGCGGCGGCGGAGCCTGCTGGAGCGCGGCGCCCGTGGCCCCGCGGCTCAGGCCCGGCAAGGCTGGGCGTCTCCAGCCTCTTGCTGTCGGCCGGCCGGCCGCGACCGGGTCTCCATGGCAACCGGGAGCGTGGCCTGACGCCGCGGGAGGGCCGTTCCCGCGGGATTTGACCAGGCCTCCTCTCATCCAGCTGGTAGCTCCTCCCCCAGAGCTCTGCGACGCCAGCTCCAGACCGCTTGGAGCGGTTGGATCGCTCCGTCCCGAGGGTCCTCGACTTCCTCAGAACCGCAAGGGACCCCCCTCTTTCCCGACACGTCCAGGGCGGTCTCCTCGAAAGCAAGAATTTTGTGTCTCTGACATCACCCGCCTTGGCGCGTCGGGCAGGGGCGCCAGAAATGTTAAAGTGGAGGAGGATAGCTACTGGAGAAAAAGGGGAAAAAAGACGAGCCTACTTGATTTTCCTACTTTTTAGAACAATGGATATCACATAAGACAGACTCTTCCAGGGCAAGTTGGGTAAAGGCCTTCGCCAGCTTAAAACCGCATCCCTCTTTTCCAGGAGCTGCTTGCAAAGAAAGACTTTGCTGAAAGTGGACTTAAAAACGATCAAATTTATGCCACCCTCCAAATTATAGCATGGTACTTGGAACAAATATAAACCTCCCCAAAGGGTTTAAATATGGCTACTTTAATTTTTGAGTCTACCTGGTGGGTGAACTCCTACTCAATCTTTGAAACTCAGTGCAAGCACTGCCTCTATAAATTCTTCCTGATTGTATTAGGATATGAATTTAGCCACTGTGATAGAGACTCAAACTAACCATTGGCCTCAACCCGTTTACTTCTCACATAAAGTCCTGTTGGCACAGCAGCTTTCCTCCACAAAGTTGTCGGGGCCCACATTCTATTTTAGGCTGCATGTAAGGGCTTTGCCCTTCTCAACTTAGTCCAGGGTGGCTTACCACCCAGGCATCCCATAGCAGTGATTGGGAGAACTAAGAGGAAAGGGAGGGCAGGCCCGTTCCTTTCAAGGACATAACCTGAAAAACACATCACTTTTCCTCACATTCCATTGGCCAGAACTTAGTCACATGGTATACCTAGCTGCAAAGAGAGTTTTGGCATATGTGTCCAACTAGAAATCAAGGGAACCTTTGCTACGAAGAATAATGGATATTCTTCCATTAGCAGAACAATTAGCAGTCTCTGCTGCCAGCCTCTATCTCTGACCCCTTCCCCCACTAGTCTACTCATTTCCATTATTCCCAGAATGTCAAATAAGGAATATATATTAAGTTTTTACCATGTATCTGGCATCATGTTTGGCTCTGGAAATAAAAATGAATGTGTGGAAATGATCAGGGACCTCACTCTCAAGAAATTAATGAATAGATGTACTTGAGCATCCTTCAATTTTTATTATAAGTATTTGTGAACATACTGTACTCCCCCTCCTTCTGCCGTCTCGCTGTCACATAGCCCATAAAACTCAAACTCTTAAATAGTGTTATTATCTCTTTTTATTTTTATTATAAGTAATATTTTATTCCCAGATACTAGCAAAATATCACTGTCTTTCACATAGATGCACAGAAGATTACAAATATGAAGATGCCTTGGGGTCACGATACGTTTTATTATACATCACGCAGTACACAGTACAATCTGCTGAAAATGTGAGACGATAGCTAGCTATAAACTTTGAAATACTATTGTCTTTTAAAATATCATTTCAGGAGCTTCTTATTTTTCCATGATAGGTCAATGTGAGTGACAATTCACTGTACTGAAAACAAGATTTAATGAGAGTCACTATCCCCAAAGTAAAGCTTAAGCAAACAGTTGTGGGTGAGTGAATTCATGGTTACTATTTACTTTAATCATGTGAATAATCCTCCTTACCTCTCACTTCTGGTTAATGGTCTCATTGTGGACTTAAATCGCAGGGAGGACAGGACAGAAGTCACCATGGAGATAGGTGTGTGGGTTCAACTGTTGTGAACACAAGGCAGTAAAAAAAATGTGATCTTTGTTTAAGTTGCTCTGTAATATGATCAGAACATTAAATCAGGGATGGTTTGGAAAATTAAAAGTTAGTTGCCTGGAGCTTTCTACCAAAAGAACTTAAAGGACTGATTTTCTTTCCCCAGGGGGTAGAGTATTTGAAATATTTGTAAATTAACATTCCTTGCTAGCAGCTAGTAGCTAGCAGCTAGTGTGTATTAGCCAAGTAGGTATTCATAATACATTTTCTCACTTGCTTCAAGTTAATATGGGCATATAAACTGTGCTCAGTTCCACTGAAGCTCATTACAGAAATGAAATTGTGTTTTGAAACATCAGAACTCAATTTATAATTATTGCCATTTAGAAATAATCGTTGATTTTTCTTTTTTTTTTTGCAACAATTCTTTTCCTTATTCTTTTATAAAGTTACCTAGTGTTCCATTGTGGACCTAAGCTATATCCAACTAGGAACTTTGGGGTATTAGGGCAGGCATCAGGAGTCCTATTTGTCTGAGGATCCTCAAGTCCCCTTGAGTAGGCTGCATCTGGAGACTGATGGTCAGGTACTGAAATATGCCATCCCAGAGAAGAAGACAACGGTAGATGCCAAGAAGGCAGGAAACTCACTCTGCAGTGGGTGAACATCATCCTCTGATGCTGGGTGAGAGTTGGCATGAAGGAATGCTTTGCATATCATAGAAGGTAGCATCACTCAAGTGTCTTCTTGCCCACTCCTCGTGGAAACTTGTCCCAAACAACTTGAAAAGGAAATGGTAAGATGATCATGTAAAGATGCCTTTGGAAAAACCAAAATACGATTGCACAAGCCCATCAAAGACTAACCAAAAGAGCTATAACCACTTGCAGAAGAGGAAAAAAAATCTCTCTTCATCTGGAAGCTGCAGACAACTGGGATGGAGCAGAGTCCTGAAGGGTGGGGCAAGTGGAGAGGAACGAAAGTCCAGACACTAGCAGTTCAGAGACAGAACCATCAGAAACAACATTCTGAAATTTAGAAGCCAAATATGACAACAGCAACTAAGGAAAAGTTTGAGTTCCCTGGGGTGCAATGGGGAATGGAGGTTCAGGAGGCTTATCATCCAGCCCTTGACTGTCTTTTGTGGCCCAGGGGAAAGAAGGGTTTATAGTAGACAACCATTATAATAGATTGCACCAACACTATTTTCCCAGAGCTGGTCATTCAAGCACCAACTTCATGGATTATTTTTCCATATCCATATCCTACCATTTATACTATTTACTCAATATTTTCATTATTATTATTATTATTATTATTATTTAGAGAGAGAGAGAACGCATAAGAAGGGGAGAGGAGCAGAGGGAAAGAGAGAAAATCTTAAGCAGGCTCTATGCTCAGTGCGGAGCCTGATGCAGAGCTCAATCCCATGACTCTGGGATCATGACCTGAGCCAAAACCAAGAGTTAGACACTCAACCAACTGAGCCACTCAGGTGCCCCATCTTCCATACTTTGATGGTGCTGGCTCTGCACTTGGGAAACACTGTGTTAAGAGATTTGAATTCAAGAGTTAGATAGTTGGGAATGCAAACTGGTGCAGTCATTCTGGAAAACAGTATGGAGTTCCTCAAAAAATTAAAAATAGAACTACCCTATGACCCAGCAATTGCACTACTAGGTATTTATTCAAGAGACACAGGTGTGCTATTTCAAAGGGGTGCATGCACCCCAATGTTTATAGCAGCACTGTCAATAAGAGCAAAAGTATGGAAAGAACCCAAATGTCCATCGATAAGTGAATGGATAAAGATGTGGTATATAGACAATAGAGTATTACTTGGCAATCAAAAAGAATGAAATATTGCCATTTGCATGTGGATGGAACTAGAGGGTATGGTAACTGAAATCAGTCAGTCAAAGAAAGACAAGTATTATATGACTTCACTCATATGAAGACTTTAAGATACAAAACAGATGAACACAAGGGAAGAGAAGCAAAAATAATATAAAAACAAGGAGGGGGACAAAACATAAAAGACTGTTGGGGCACCTGGGTGGCTTAGTCGGTTAAGCGTCCAACTTTCGCTTAGGTCATGATCTCGCGGTTCGTGGGTTCGAGCCCCGCGTCGGTCTCTGTGCTGACTGCCAGCTCAGAGCCTGGAGCCTATTTCAGAGTCTGTGATTCCCTCTCTCTCTGACCCTCCCCTGCTCACGTTATCTCCCTCTCTCTCCTAGAAATAAATAAAAAAATATTTTAAAAAAACATAAAAGACTGTTAAATATGGAGAACAAGCAAAGGATTGCTGGAGGGGCTGTAGGAGGGGGGATGAGATAAATGGGTAAGGGGCATTAAGGAATCTACTCCTGAAATCATTATTGCACTATATGCTGACTAACTTGGATGTAAATTTAAAAATGAATAAATTATTTAAAAAATAAATAAATAAACATTTTAAAAAAGAGTTAGAGAAACAATGCTTCCTCTGAAATAAGAGGGAGAAAATATAAGAAATTCAAAACTGGCAAGAAAGACCTTAGAGGGATCGCGTGTCACAGATGAACTCAGTCCACTAACATGGCACAGTGGTAGTGGGAGCTTTGAAACTAGATAGAATCGGAAGACCTGTTTCTTAGTCCTAATGTTGTCATGACTTAGTTGCATAACCCAAGCAAGTCTCTTTGTATTTGTTTTTTATTTTTGTATTTGTTATTTGTATTTGTTTCTTGATATGTTGAAGTCTATAATTTATTTACTAATAGAAAAGTGAGTGGAGAAGGATTTGAAGAGACTGAAAAAGATTGGCAGTCAACAAGGGAAAGATATTTAAATATCTATTTTAATATTTATTTACCCATCTCTATTTAAAATATCTATTCAAGGGGTGCCTGTGTGGCTCAGCCAGTTAAGCATCCAACTTGAGCTCAGGTCATGATCTCGTGGTTTGTGAACTGGAGCCCCACATCAGGCTCTGTGGAGACAGCTCAG